ACGACAACTACTACTACTACGACTACTACGACTACTACGACTACTACGACTACTACTGCTACTACTGCTACTACTACTACTACTACTTCTACTACTACAACTTCTACTGCTACTACTACTACTACTACTACTACTACTACTACTACTACTACTACAGCAATTGCTACTTATGTTGCTATCTCAACCCGCGCTGCGACTGTCACGTCTATTCTGGACGGATCCTACCATTGCGACTGGCTGGGCAACCTCGTGCTACGAAATACTTCACTGAATCACGCGGGGGTATCTGACTCGACGCGCCCTCGGAGAGCCCGAGCCCGGGCAGAAGGAAGAGGACACTTCCACAGACAGAGCAGCTGCACTGCAAGGAGGGACGAAAATGAGCAGGAGGAGGGAGAGCAGGACGCGGAGGAACAAAGCACAGCAGGTAATCAACAGGACGGCAAGCGGTGGCAGAACCAGGCAGGCGTGGGCCTTTCCAAGAGCTGGTCGCAATTCGACGAGTCCTTGCGGGGCGACTCGGGCGCAGCTTGCAAAAGGAACATGTGTGCCGTGGCGCCAGCGAACGCGCGGCGCAATCGAAGACTAGGCGGAGACGCTGGAACCTCCTCCTCCTCCTCCTCCTCCTCCTCCTCCTCCTACTACTACTACCATTAATACTCCTGCTACTCGTCCTGCTCCTTCTGCTCCACTTCCACCTCCTACTCCACGCTCGCGCCCTCTCTCTCATCCTCCAGTTCCTGCCCTCGTCCTCCTCCTCCTCAGCCATATCCTTCCTCGACCCTCCTCCATTCTCAACCTCCTCTTGGCCTTCGCCCTCATCATTCACCCCTTCTTCTTGCTCCTCGTCATTCCCTCTCCTCCTTGAGGAGGAGGAGGAGGAGGAGGAGGAGGAGGAGTGATAGCACGCTGGCGTCCTTGAAGAGGAGGATGAGGAGGAGGAGGAGGAGGAAAAGGAGGAGGAGGAGGAGGAGACGATCACGACGACGACGCCGCCGCCGACGACGACGACGACAACGACGACGACGAATGACTACCTCGTCTTCCGCACTCGCCGCGAGAGCTCTGTAATCTGTACAGGGCAGCACCAGGACCTCGCCTGTGGGGACCTCTGAAGACCTGCCTGAGACTGGCTGGAGGGAAACAGGTCCTGGACACTAGCAACTTGGGCCTTCTTCTGGGACCAGCTCTTCATCCCGAGCTGTCTTGCTGACGGCCCCGGGGCCCGCGCGGAGGGCTCTGGGAGCTCCAGAGCCGTGAAGAGAACTCAGACCACGCTTCCCCCAGGACCCCTGCCCAGACACTCCACGTTCTGATCCGTCCCATACGGGGTCCCTGGCAGCCCCGACTCATTCCACAGGGACGGCGAGGAGGAGGCGGAGGAGGAGGAGGAGGAGGAGGAGGAGGCGGAGGGGGAGGAGGGGGAGGAGGAGGAGGAGGAGGAGGAGGAGGAGGAGGAGGAGGAGCAGGATGAGGAGGAGGAGGAGGTCCCAGATCGTTTTCTGAAGGTCCCCAGGTTCGGCGAGGGCCCCCCACGGCCGAACACGGCCAACAGCCTTCTGCGAGCACGCTCGGGTTCCCTTCGTGGCGAGACGAGCGTGGCCCCCCTCGAGAGGCGGAGGGCGCCGAGCGGGCCACCGCCGCGGGGGCGGCGCGCGCGGCGTCCTGGCAGAACCGCAGCGTCCCGCCGGCGAGGCCCGCCCGGAAGGAGTAGCAGGGACGCTTGTAGCGGTCGGAGCACGCGCCCTCCTCCCAGTGCGGCCGACGGCGGGAGCGACGGCGGGGGCGGCGAGGAGGGCGACGACGGCGACGACTACGAGGTCGAGGATCGCGACGCGGATCTGAACGGGCGGGTCGGGCGGCCGAGTCGGCCGACGGCGGGAACGACGACGAGGGCGGCGAGGAGAGCGGCGGGCGGGCCCTCACGCGCCCAGCGGCGGGGCCGGGACCGGCCGCGTCCCCCCCCCTTCCCCTATCACCCCTGTGTCGCCCGACCCGAGATCGGATCCCCCCCTTGAGCCCGTCCCTCCCTGGCATTGCCTCTGCTCGACCCCGCCCCCCCCCCCCCTCCCGCGCCCGTCTCGCGCCCGCCGGCAACTCGGAGTGCCTCAACGATCTCCGGGGCGGCCAGGGATCCCTGCGGGACCCCCTGCAGCCTGGGGCGGGGGCCCCTGCAGTCCGGGGACTGGGCCCTTGCAGTCAAGGGGGGCGGCCTGCAGTACTTCGAAGTGGGGGGGCCCTGCAGTCCAGGGGTGGGGGGGGCCTCGCAGTCGGGGGGGGGGCGCCTTCTGGTCCGGGGGCCCAGATAACCACTGCATTGAAGGTACGCAAAAAATCGGAGATCGGAGGACCCGAGACCTCTGACGCGCGCCCCTGCAGAGTCGCTGGGGTCGGAGCGCTCGCCGAGGCCGCCCTCTCGGCGGCGGCTCCCCAAGGGCCGCTCCCAGGGCCGGGAATTCGACAGGCACATGCTTTCTCCTCCTCCTCCTCCTCCTCCTCCTCCTCTTCCTCCTCCTCCTCCTCCTCCTCCTCCTCCTCCTCCTCTTCCTCTTCCTCTTCCTCTTCCTCCTCCTCCTCCTCCTCCTCCTCCTCCTGGACCCCTCATCGTGCTCCCCATCCTCCTCCTAGGGGCAAGCTCTTCGTGGATCCCTGGACTTCCTGCGGTGTCCCAAGACTTCTGCGGGTCCCCGGGGTCAATCCTGGGATACCGTGAGGTCAGTGGGCATTGGACGGGGAACCACAGGAGAAGGAACCCAGGGTCTGGAAGCCGTTGGAAGTCCAACCGAGGCCTGGCCATGGCTATCAGCGCCGCCCTCCCCAGGTAAGGAACCCTGCAGGATCCGAAGCCTCCCGGGAGCATTCCTCACCGAACGCCCTCCACCGCACTCGGGAGCGGCCAAGAGGGGGGTGCCCAAGAGGGGGGGGGTGCAAATCATGACTGGCGGCATGTGCGCGGCCCAGCGGGGGGGCCAGGGACGTAATGGAATAAGAAGAGGCGCCATGAAATCTGGGAAAATATCATGGCCCCCGCCAGAATATCCACCCCCCCTAGTCATCACCCCCCTCTTTTCCGCCCCCGACGTACAAGATGGGCACGTTCTCCGTGGATCCCTGGACCTCCCGAGGCGTCCCAGGACGTCTGTGGGTCCTCCGGGCCCATCCCAAGACCTACGATGCTGACACTTCCCTGGGGGGCACCTGCTGGCGGGCCGGCCTCTTAATTTGGTGCACCTGCTGCATCGACAGAGCATCGCACCGGCGTCGGGAGCCATGCTCGCTCTTGAGCCTTCCTAGGCTGGAGGCCTCCCGAGCGGGGCCCGAGCATTCCGTGCGGTCGGAGGATCGCGCCGCCACCGCCGACGCGCATCGTCAGCGCATCGGCGTCGTCGGCGCAAAGAGAAAGTCGGGCCCTGCATCGCCGATGCACTGGCGATGCGGCACAATCCTCCGACCATGTACCGTGAACCCTTTTGAGAGAGATGGACGCCAGGAGCATCTGGCTTCGCGCGAGCGCGGTGTCCGCCTGGCGACAACCACTTCCGACGCCTTGACACCATCTGAGCACGTGTGTTTCTGGTACTGCTGCTGCATCTGCTGGTTTTTGGCATCCGCGGTCCGATTCTGGGCGTCGACGCAGTACTCGAGGTGAAAAGCTGGCTGCCCCACAGGGGATTGGGTCGAGAGCTCTGGGGACTGCATGCTGAGAAGAACGCGTCGGCGGTGAGAGTCGATAGCGGTGTTAGAAGTTGTTTCACCCTTCTTGGGCTTCCCAGAGCCTCTGGATGCCCGCAGGGACCTCCCGCGGATACCAAGTGAGACGTCCAGGGACCTCTCTCATGGGAGCCTCCTCGGACCTTCGACGACTCCAATTTTCAAGCCGCCAGCACCCCAAAGACCCCAGACCTCTGGACCCACTCCCGCCAGACAACGTTTCCATCCTGTAGGTCGTTTCTTGACGGGAATGAAATTTGAGAGGCGTTCCAAATGAGGTCCTAGAAAATCGGGTCGGAAGATCGCACCGCATCGGCGATGCATCGCCGATATGCGTCGGCCTCGACGGCGATGCATCGGCGACGTCGGTATGGAGAAGATTGGGCTTCACATCGAGCCACATCGCCGATGCATTCGCGATGTGGCGCGATCCTCCGACCCTATCCGCTCCGACCCCATCTGGGAGGCCTAGAATATTGAGAATAACAAACTCAAGCGAGATGCCTTTGAGATGTTGGATGTCTTGGGGGATCTGCAGGGATTTCCTTCACAATCCTCGGCGCACGTAAGCCAGTCCTGGGCCTGGGACTCCGTGGAATGGTCGTCGTCGTCGTCGTCGTCCTCGAAAGGTCTGGGGGCCAAGGGTACGAGAGCATCGTGTCATCGGATGTGAAGCATGTTGTCGCCACTTCAGGACAGCTAGAACCAGCGGGTCTCATCCCTCCCACGACTCGCGCCAGAGGGCGGGCCCAGAAGTCGATGGGTGTTTGTTGTGACTTCTGCGTGCCTCGGCAACGGGTTAGGGGTCGGAGTCTCGCACCGCGTGCCAGACGATACATACCAGATAAGCCAACGGCAACACATACTCCATCATGCCTCTGGCACGAAGTGGAGTGCCTGAAGGGTCACATCTGTGCTGCTGCTGCTGCAGCCAGGATTTAGGATTCGCAAGGAACCAGACACTCGGTTTCCTGGAGGCTCCCGAGCACTTCCAGAGGGCCCCCGTGAGCTCCTGGGGTCCCAGGAGCTCCTGGGGTGTGTCGCGCGAGTTGTCTGGAAGCCAGAAAGTTTCCCAGGAGGCCGCGAAGACGGCCAGAGAGAGCCTCGAGTCGCCTCCAGATCGCCCCCCAGATCCTCAAGACAGCCTGAAGACGGCCAAAGAACCCCCAAGAAACCCCCAATAGCGCCCCAGGACTGTCCAGGACCCAGGACGACCCCGTGGACGCAAACTATAGTCCTATTGGACGAAGCTGGTGGCTTAAGTTCTTCATTGCAACAAAGTGGACGTGCGATCAGGTTGAGATTGCGATTTGATGTCAGATGCAACGACGACCAATAAGAACACACGCGTGCAAGTTGCGAAGGAGCAGTGGTACCTTCGTCTAGTATCCCCGTCTCTTTGAACCAAGTGGACCTTGTGGTGGTCATGGTGGTGGTATCAGAAGTACCACTTACCAGAACTTCGTAGAAATGGTGGTGGTAGCTGTAGGAGGGGGTCGTCTCCAGCACCCCACCAGCACCGCAGCCACAACCACCCCCTGACCCAGAAAGGGTAGTGGTGGTGGCGGTGGAATTGTGTAGGTGGCGGTGGAGCGGGTGGTGCTAGCAGCAGCCGTCGTATAAGTATTCGTAGGAGCTGGCGGAGGTGGTCGCAATGGTGGTCGGAGGGGATCGCCTCCGCCACCGCCGCAACCACCGCCCCCGCCCCATGATCCACAGAGCGTACTACGGGTGGCGGGCGAATGCTATTGATGGTGGTGGAGGTAGTCGTGGTAAAAGTAACAATCGCAGATGAACTCACAAACGCTGGTGGAGGTTCTGGCGGTGGTAGGAGGGGTTCGCCTTCACCACCGCCACCACCACCGCCACCCCCTTGATGAAGAAAGGGTGGGCGTGGTGGCGGTGGAATGTTATTGGTGGTGCTGTAACTGCTGCTGATGGTAGGAGGGGCCGCATTCACCGCCGCAACCACCGCCACTCCCTTGACCCAGAAAAGATGGCGGTGATGGCGGTCAAGTGGTACTGGTGGTGATTGAGGTGGCAATGGGTGGTAGGAAGAAATCGCCTCTACCACCACCGCAACCACCACCACCACCATCTCGACCCAGAAAAGGTAATAGTGGTGGTGGAGTAATACTGGTGGTGAGTTACACGTTGATACCTTCTTTGGCGGATTACGCATTGACTTCTTTCGTGGCAGATTGCAAAGTTATGCCTTCTGTGTCGGGTTACAAATTATTTCCTTGTTGTGTCCCATTGATTTCTTCTGTGGCGGATTACACATTGATTTCGTTAATGGCGCCTGACAAATTGATTCCTTACGTGGCAGGTTCCAAACGGATTCCAGCTGCGGCGGGTTAAAATAAGACCCCTTTTGTGGCGGATTGCGAATTTATTTCGTTGGTGGCGGATTACAACAGGATTCCTTTTGTGGCGGATGACAAAAGGATTCCTTGTGTGGCGGATTTCCCATTGATTCCTTCTTTGGTTGAATAGAATAGAATTCTTTTTGCGGCGGGTTACATGTTCAATCCTTTTGTGGCGGATCACACAAGGATTCCACCCGTGACGGATGACAATTTGATTACTTGTGTGGCGGATTACACACTGATTCCACTTGTGGTAGATTTCAGACTGATTCCCTGTGTAACGGATTACATATTCATTCCTTACGTGGCGGATTACAAAAAAAAGATCCCGTGCGTAGCGGATAATACTTTGACTCTTTCTGTTATGGAATGCAACCGGATTCTTTTTATTGCTGGTTACACATTGATTCCTTATGTAGCGGATTACATATTGTTTCCTCCTGTGGCGGGTTACACATTCATTCCTTTTGTAGCGGATTACATCGGTATTCATTTTGTTGCGGATTGCGAAAATATTCCTTTTGCGGCGGATTGCGAACGGTTTCCTTGTGGCGTGGATTACACTGGGATTCTTTTTGTAGCGGATTACAAAAGGATTCCTTTTGTGGCGGATAACACGGGGATTTCTTTCGCGGTGGATTACAATCGGATTCCTTTTCTGGCGGATTTCAGATTGACTCCATTTGTGGCGCATTGCAAGATGTGTTTTTTTTGTGGCGGATTACATATTGATTCCTTCTGTGGCGGATTATACATTGATTCCTTCTGTGGCCGATTACAAATAGGTTCCCTTCCGGAGGGGCTCTCAGGAGTAAATCAGAGAGAGAAATAACTAGAAATAATATTGCAAAGTGTGAAGCATACATGTCTTCAAAGTCTTTGGCGTCGTTGGCTTAAATCAAATATGCACATATAGCGTGTTTTGCCTCGGGAGTTCCAAAACGATGTGCTTTACAATATTCTAATACTTCTCGATGGCGAAAGCATTTGCAAAACACTGCGTTTTGGAGCTCCGGAGGTGGAAAACGCTGCTTCCATTTTCTTAAACCTCCGACACCAAAAACCCTAAACACACAACACTCTCCACATGTTTCATTAATTTGCTTATTCCTCTCCCTGATTTCCTCCTAACTTGTAATCCGCCACAAGAGGAATCAACTTGCAATCCGCCACGATAGGAATTAACCTGTCATCCGCCACAACAGAAATCCGATTGTGATCAACAAAAAAAACTCAATGTGAAATCCGCGACAACAAGCATTAATTTGCAATCCTCCATCAAACGAGTAGCTTGTAACCCGCCACAACAAGAATCAACTTGTAATCCGCCACAGGATGAATCAATCTTTAATCCACTACAAAAGGAAGCAACCAGTATAAGTGCCACAAAAGGAATCCATATTTAATTCACCACAAAAGGGATTCATGTAGAATCCTATATAAAAGGAATGAATGTGTAATCCGCCACGGAAGCAACGTGTAATCTACAACAGAAGGAAGCAATCAGTAATCCACCACAACAGGACTCCTCCTGTAACCCGCCACAAAAAAGAAACATATTGCAATTCACAGCAAAATGAATCAACATGGAATCGCCACAAAAGAAATCTCCACTACCCACCACTATCGCAAGAATGATATTCATTAGCAGGCGAAAAAAATGAAAGCGAAACAACAAAAATAACACATCGTTAAATAGAGCAAGACTTTGACCTGCCCAGGCACGGTGGCGGGATGAGCCGCAGGCCATTCGACAATGGTCGCGGTGTCACGAACTGAAGCAGAAGCTTCGCGTGGCTAAGTCTATCACGCGTTACGGATTCAAGAACCAGTTAACGTATCATCACTAAGCCTGCTGCTACGATCAGCAGATGTGGGAGACGATTCGACAAACTACCTGTGTATAACGATAATTGCGACACCTCGATGGCCGTCCCGTCCATGCATGCGAATGTTTCGCCACTGTGGAACATGTACTGCGTGACAGTGCGCCGGAAGTTTGCAGCTGGGCACAGGTGGTGATTCGAGGCGTCATGCTTGTAAACATGCGCCTAGCAAGCTGTTGCCAAAAACGCACGCGTCGTTTGCGCATGTCTGTCAAACCGTCGACACCAGTCTCTGAACCAAGACAGACTCCCAACAGTCGACCCACCCTGTGGCCTTGCACCAATTGTTGCTACGAAACTTCGGATCATCAACCTCCAAGCTCGCCGTGAAACCGTCAAGGACTCGGTCCAAGCACTCTGCGAAGGTGGCCACGCCAAGCATTTGGCATGGAAGATTTCCGGCGACAGGCGATGACGGTAATGGCACGTGGTGATACGATCGATGAGTTACCACGTGCAGGATAGTACTACGGTGGGGAAGACTACACAGATTCTACTTTCGGAGCTCCGCGCGGACTTCTTGAACCGGCGCTAGGCCCCCCCCTGGCGCGCGGGGTGCGCCAGGGGCGACGCCAGAGGCGACGCCAGCGCCGATCCGAGAAATCCGCGCAGAGCTCCGAAGCTGAATGTTCATACAAGGTTGCTCTTCCTCGAGGCACTTGCCACGATGGCGGCGCTGCAGGAAGCCGCGAGATCCTCTCCCACGAAGACGAGGAAGTACATCCTAGATCCCAGAGGCCTTCCAAATGGGGTCCGAGTAGAAGGGGTCGGTCGGTCGGAGGATCGCACCGCATCGGCGATGCATCGGCGACGTCGGCGATGCATCAGCGACGTCGGGGCGGAGAAAATGGGGCTCCACATCGAGCTGCGTCGCCGATGCATCGGCGAAGCGGCGCGCTCCTCCGACTTCATCTACTCGGGCCCGATCTGGGAGGCCGATACGTCCGCTGAGGACGAGTCGATGTTAGTCGACGCTGATCGACGCTAAATCGACGCTGATCGATGCTACACGACGCAAACCGATGCTACATCGGCACGATGTCAACAATTATCAAGCGTTAGTCGAGGCCAGGGCACTCTAAAAACGGAGTTACGAGGGTATACAAGGCGCACGTGGCTTGCTACCGGAGGAACCCGCGAGATCCTCTCCCACGAAGACCAGCATGTCCGCGGAGGACGAATCGAAGACCAGCTGCAGGCGCTGCGCCCCCACCCGGGCCCAGACCAGAGGCTGCATGGACAGGCCGTACTCCACCTCCGGCACGCAGGCAACGGGCGCGAGCGCGCCGACAATTGCCGCGACGCCCGCGCCGGAACGAGCGGACCAGGCCTCATCCCAAGCCCACGAGGGCGGACCTGTTCGAGGTTCGAAACTCAAATGTTCAAGGGTTCCGGGCGTGATCCCGTACGATGATGCTTTCTCTCGTAACGACGGATCTTAGGGGACGCCCTGACACGTGAGGCGGGGATAGATCCACATCCACCGCGTGGCGAACCGATGTCCAGGGATCCCAGCGGGCGATGGATATGGGCCCTGCTTGGCCCAGGGGGGCCCGAATGTGTCCATGACCCACCGCCTGCCGAGGTCCCCGAGGATCAATCCCCCGAGCGGTGGTCATAGATAGATCCCTGCCTCGGAACGATGGCGGACACCCTGACAGGCATCGCCGCTGCGACGCGGGCAGCGCAGAGCCCATCCCCGCCATTGCTCTGGATCGCGCTAGAACACCGGTGATACGAGGCCAGGTCGTGCGAGGTGAAGTCGTGCATCCGCCCTATGCGCACTCTCCGTGCCAAGCGTAGGGTAAGGCCCGTCTGGTCTGGCCGCATCTGCAAATAATGCTGTCGGCAGGAAGAGACTGTGGACAGGGACGAGATGGAAGGCAAGGGCAAAACGGGAAGAGGAGGGAAAAAGGGTGGGGCGAAGAGTGGAGGTGAGAGGGCGGGGAAAGGGAGGGGAGGGCAAGGGCGAAGAAAGGGGCAGGAAGGGACGGGCAAAGACGGGAAGGGAGGGGTGCCAGATGGGAGTGATGCGACGGCTAGCTGAGAGCTGCGACCTGTGCCCTGTGCGATCTCGCGCACAGGGCTCGCGGCGCGCGCGGGACTCGCTGTCGATGTTCGTTCCTGGACCTCCTCCTTTGGCGCCCCCCCTCGGCCGACCCCGAAGAGATGCATTCGTCCATCTCCTCCTCCTCCTCCTCCTCCTCCTTCTCCTCCTCCTCCACTTTCTCCTCCACCTCCTCCTCCTCCTCCTCTTCCTCCTTTTCCTCCTCCACCTCGAAGCGGAAGTCGGCGATAACCCGGCTGGGCCTCGGCACGCTGGGCAGTGCGCCGCGTGGGTGTCTGCGATCTGCATCAGCTGCAAGCGGCATGCCTGGTGCAAGATGTGGCGGCATTGCATCTAATCGCACCACCCTCTCGCCATGTGCGAAGGTTTGGGCTCCCCATCGTGTCTGGCAAACACAGCAACGGCGTGGGTTGCACCAGGCGCTGCGGCCAGCACAGGGCCAGGATTTGTAAAGGATAATGTCCAACTCTGGCGTCGCTGCTCGTCCTGCTCTCGTAGGAGCCCGCGTGCTAATTGTGCGATTTGGAACTCGTCGGGGTGCCGTCGTTGCGCGCGCTGGAGAGTGGTGCCCACGCTGTTTTCGGATTGGTCGCCGCTGGACATCCAGGTCTCGCGGCCGGCAAATTACGTGGCCATCCTGCCAAACGGCTGGCTTACATCGATAGGGACGTTCTGATTAAAGACGGCCAAATCACTGGGAAACTCCGGTACTGGCGGCGACACTGCTGCACGAGCGGATTGCGGTGGCCACGTGGAGCTTGATCCAAGTAGCGCGCTGATGCCGAGGGCTGAGACTGATGGCATGCAAACCCATACCAGGCGAGTGCAACTTGGCAGGTGAGGTCGTAGGCGTGGCGACTCGTGCGCTGACGTCGCTCATCCAGTCGCGCCCTTGGGCTTGCTCACGTGGGACTGCCGATGCTGATGGAGCTGTAGGCACCGTGGGCGCGGCTGGCGCCGCGTCCCCCGCTCCTGCCGCGCGAGCCGGCAACGCCGTTGCCAGGCCCCCAGGTCGAGCAAAGTCTTGCTGCGCGCATCTCGCGGGCTCGGCCATTTCTTGACATAGTCGTCCCAAATTTGCCTCGTGCGGGTTGGGAAAGGGCGAAGAGGATGGGGTCCCCGCCCAGCTCGACCAATGGCTGCGGCCCACTGCCTGCCGCGAGTCGTCAGACGACGCACTTGACGCCGCTGCTGGAGCTGGCCGCGGCGCCGCCGCTCCTGGAGTCGGCCGTCTGCTGCTCCGAGGATCGGCGCTCCACGTTGGACCGCCTGCGTTGGGGCTCCAAGGGCGCACCTTCATCATGCCGACCGCGCGCGCCTGGTGCGGGCCGCCGAGCGGCTGGCCCAGGCAACCCCTGATGTCCCAGATGTGCAAGTGGCGGGGGCGTCGGCGGTAGTGGCGGCGCTGCCGCGGCTGGGGCGCCGAGAAAAAGGGCGCGCCCTTGCTGGCGGCGCCGGGGGTCATTCTCGGACATGTCGGCCAGGAAGGCGCGGTAGCCCTTGCAGTGGCCTTCGCCCGTGCGTATTGATGGCCCTCAGTGCGCGGCGCGCGGGCTCGCGGCTGTCGACATCTGGACTCGGCGCGTTCGCAGGCCCAGAGAAGGCGCGCGCCGCGATGTTCCACTGGGACGTCGCGCATCTCGGGATCGCGGGCGGCAGTTTCTTCGCCGAGTGAGCTTGCGGTGCCAGACTCGACACCTGCCGCTGGGCATGCCGCCTGCGCTGAGGCTGCCGTGCCAGTGTCTGCGGCGGCTGATTGGGCTCGGAACCGCTCCCAAGGCAGCGTTGCCAATGTCATCCCATGCCGCCCCAGCTTGATCCGGCGGCAGCGACATCGGCACTCTGAGCCTGATCTTGCGCGGGCGCAACCGCGAGGAACGCGCGGCGCAGGGTCGAGTGAACGGCCGAGGCGAGGTTGCCCAGCGAGCCCTCAATCATGCGCCCGAGCCGTCGCAGCTGGCCAGTCATGCCGGACAGATGCGGGTTCGTCGCGGGGTGGGCCACGTCGTCGCGCTGGAAGGCCATGGCGAGCTGCATGTTCGACGCGCCCACCGCGCGCAACATGTGATAGCTGAGGCCCTCGTAGCCGATCATGAGTTGGCCGGCCTGCTGCGCCCTGTGTTCTGGAGGACGTCGAACCTGGCGAGGAGATTGTCGATGCACCCTTGAGGCAACCGGTTGAAGTTCATAAGGGCCGATACCGCTTGGGCGCGCTCCTCCTCGCCTGGCTGGCCCTGCCGCACGGCCAGGCTGTGCGGCGGGAGAGGAGAGTCATGGGCGGCGTTGGGTCGCCGTTGATGCAACCTCCCTGGGTCAGGACAGCGGGCGGCCACTCGTCCACGTACTCGCTCGCCACGCTGGTGAGGTGAGACGAAACGTAGGCTGCTTGGCGGAACTCGTCGAGATTGGAGTTCGCCACTGACCAGATCATGAACTCCCACGCCCAGAATTGGAAGGGGGCGCGAGCTTGCTGCTCGGGTCCCCAGGTGCGGGGGCGTCGCATGTTGCCGCCACCGCCGCCGCCAGCGTCCGTGCAAACGATGCACCCGGTTGCATTCACCAACGACGCTGTTCTGGTATAGAACCTCGAAGCCGTCGTGGGTCTGTCCCGGGCATGCTCTTCCTCGCCAGCGAATTAGGCAGGCCCTTCTGTCGCGTGTTCGGGGCGCGATCGGCACTCGGAGCATCCCACGACCAAGTAATGGGAATGCTGCGCGTCACGTTGTCACTGTACTGAACAACACCAACTGTGCAAGGGTCAGGCGGGGTCTGCGTCGGGATCCAGGTATGCCAGGAAGCAGGGATTGGGCGGGCGATGGCGAGGGCCATGTTCCAGGAGGCCGAAGACGAATAGTCCCAAGCTCGTTTCACGGCCCCCCGGATTGCTGACAACACAGTCGCCAAACCCTCCCTTGTCAGTTTTGTGGTTCACGCTGGCCTATCGCAAGAGGACGGCGAGGATGAGGAGGCTTACGAGGAGGAGGGCGACAACGAGGGGGAGGCTTAGGAGGAGGAGGAGGAGGAGGAGGAGGAGGAGGAGGAGGAGGAGGAGGAGGAGGAGGGCGCGGAGGGGGAGGAGGAAGGCGAGAAGGGGGAAGGAAAGGACGAGGAGGAGGAGGAGGAACAGGAGGAGGAGGAGGAGGAAGTGAGGAGGAGGAGGAGGCGGAGGAGGAGGAGGAGGAGGAGGATGAGGGGAAGGAGGAGGAGGAGGGGCCATGAAGGCGGCCCGGCTCGCTCGCGGCGCGCGGCGAGCTACACCGGCTGGCCTGCAGCGCCACGCGCGGCTCCGCGGGCACCGCCGCGCAGGCCAGCAGCAGTGCCAGCGGGCGCGGCAAGTGCGGCCTGCGGGCCCCGGCCTGCCGCGGCTTCCGGCGCAAGGGGGCGACGACGACGCCGCCGACGACGACGACGGCGACGACGACGACGACGGCGACGACGACGACGACAACGACGACGATGACGACGACGACGACTACGACGACGACGACTACCACGACGACGACGACGACCACGACAACGACGGCGACGATGAGGACGACGACGACGACGACGACGACGATGACGAGGGACTACGACAATCACGACGACGAAGACGACGACGACGAGGTTCTTCGTCGCCGTCGAAAAACCGCTTCGTCCCCGTCGGCGTCGTCGTACTCGGCATGCCGCGGCGTCGGGCAGCGGGCAGCGACGACGAGGGCGAGGACGGCGACGAGGACGACCGATCGGACTCAAATCGAACTTCGACCGAAGAGGGTTTCGCATGTCCTGAGCCTCTGGGAGGCTTCTGGCCGCCACGGCTGGATCCCCCTCCATATCAGAGCCAGGACGCGCCGATGGGGACGAAGATTGTCTCGATGGCGACGAGGTCGTCGTTCGTCGTCGTTCGTCGTCGTCGTCGTCGTCGTCGCGTCGTCGTCGTCGTCGTCGTCGTCGTCGTCGTCGTCGTCGTCGTCGTCGTCGTCGTCGTCTTCCTCGTCGTCGCCGCCGCGTCGCCGGCGGATCGCAGGCCTGGGGGGCGGATGGGCCGCGCAGCGTGCGAGCTCGAGCCCTGGCGCTCTGGTGCCCCAGGGGCCCAGCCGCCGTGTCTAACCTCATCGGCGGCGAGGCAGATTACCAGCCTCGAGCGTATCCCTATGCCTGAGATGGACACGCCAAAAAGGCGACGACAATCTCTGGGATGCGCCCTCGAAAAGTGAGGGGATCCCTGAGAGTGGCATCGTGATGAGGAGGTGCCCAGCATAGGGATAGGGATATGTTCCAGGCTGGCAAGCAGAGGCACTCCGCGCCAGCGCGCGTGGCGAAGCGGGGCAGGCGACACGATTCGCCGCGGCGTTGAAGCACTGGGCCTCGGAGACCTCGGGCCCCGTCGCCGGGACCAGCTCGCACGCGCGGAGCTCGGAACAGATCACTGACAGCACGCTCGCTATGCTGAACCGAAAATCTTGCACTGCCTGGTGTGAACTTTGAGTCGGGCGTGTCCCCCTCCAGGGGGATTTTCGACAAAAAAATAAAAATACTCAGAACATATTCCAAACTTTTCAAACATTATTCAAAAAATGGTCCCCAGACTATTTTTAACTATTTTTGAATATTCCCCCTGTAGAGGGACAGACCCGACTTAATGTAAACTTTGCGGTGCAACCCACAGAAACTACGAACGAATTGTCACAATCACTGCTCGCGCGAACATCCCACCACTCCCACCATCTGTTTTGCAAACCCAATGCGGCCGCGATTGCGGTGACTGCTTGGCAGTGACTGGCGCATCTCCACGGCCGCGCTGGCGCGCGCAAGCACGCGCGCAGAGCGGCCAGCTGGTTCGGTAAGACCGACGCACCGCGATGCCGCTTTCCGATGGGAGCATCCCTGCGCTTGGCGCGCGGGCACTTCAGTGCGGGTCGGTGATCCGGGCGGGCGCGAGAACAGGTTGTCGTTAACAACGGCGGCAACGATGATGTTAGTGGCGACTGTGATGGCGGTGATGACGATGACGACAGGGAAGCCAATGATGGCACCGATGATGGTGATGACGATGACGATGATGATGCCCATGTGCTGGTGACGAAGGTGATTGACTGATGATGGCCGCAATGACAGCGACTGGCGATGACGATCGGCGGTGATGCAATGGCGCTGATGCGGGTGATGAGGAAGCGCACGCAGAAATTCACGAAACATGCCCGAATTGAGGTTGGAAAACGATTGGGCTTCATACGTGTTTGAAGAAAGTTGTGTTGTGAAATGCTTCGGGCTCGTGCGCTAGGCGAATGCTGAATCAACGAAGATGCACCGCAAGGAGAGATGATACTGCGGGATGTTAAACGATCATGTTAAAATCGCATGGCTTTCCTCAGGTTCCAGAAAAATGCGCGATGAACGAACTCCGTCATGATGTTCAAAGGAAAAAGGAACAAGTTGTTCAAACATACGTTTTTGTTCCCAACCCTCCTGCGTTGGGTTCTCGTTTTGAATAGAGCACTGCTCGCGCGTCTCCTTCCTTCCTTCCCGCCCCTCTCTTCCCCCTTGCCTTTTGCCTCGTTCGTCGCTGCGTGCCAGCTGGGGGGCTGCGATCTGTGAAACTGTCGCCACTTTCGAGGCCTGCTGGGGGGGCCAGCGCAGTAGGTACTCACCGCAGACTCAAATGGGACCTCGCCATCCCTGGAGAGCTGCGGACAGTGAAACTGTCGCCACGTTCGAGGCCTGCTGGGGGGCCCAGCGCAGTGGGTACTCACCGCAGACTCAAATTGGACCTCGCCATCCCTGGGGGGGCTGCGATCTGTGAAACTGTCGCCACTTTCGAAGGCCGCTGATGGGGCCCAGCGCAGTGGGTACTCACCGCAGACTCAAATGGGACCTCGCCATCCCTGGGGGGCTGCGATCTGTGAAACTGTCGCCACTTTCGAGGCCTGCTGAAGGGGCCCAGCACAGTGGGTACTCACCGCAGACTCAAATGGGACCTCGCCGTCCCTGGGGGGCTGCGATCTGTGAAACTGTCGCCACTTTCGAGGGCTGCTGAAGGGCCCAGCAAAGTGGGTACTCACCGCAGACTCAAATGGGACCTCGCCATCCCTGGGGGGCTGCGATCTGTGAAACTGTCGCCACTTTCGAGGCCTGCTGAATGGCCCAGCACAGTGGGTACTCACCGCAGACGCAAATGGGACCTCGCCATCCCTGGGGGGCTGCGGACAGTGAAACTGTCGCCACGTTCGAAGCCTGCTGAGGGGCCCAGCACAGTGGGTACTCACCGCAAACTCAAATTAGACCTTGCCATCCTTGGGGGGCTGCGATCTGTGAAACTGTCGCCACTTTCGAGGCCTGCTGAAGGGCCCAGCACAGTGGGTACTCACCGCAGACTCAGATTCGACCTCGCCATCCTTGGGGGGCTGCGATCTGTGAAACTGTCGCCACTTTCGAGGGCTGCTGAAAGGGCCCAGCACAGTGGGTACTCACCGCAGACTCAGATTCGACCTCGCCATCCTTGGGGGGGCTGCGATCTGTGAAACTGTCGCCACCTTCAAGGGCTGCTGATCCCTGGGGGGCTGCGGTCAGTGAAACTGTCGCCACTTTCGAAGCCTGCTGGGGGGCCCAGCACAGTGGGTACCCACCGCAGACTCAAATTGGACCTCGCCATCCCTGGGGGGCTGCGATCTGTGAAACTGTCGCCACTTTCGAAGGCTGCTGAGGATCCCAGCGCAGTGGGTACCCACACGCAGATTCAAATTAGACCTCGCCATCCCTGGGGGGCTGCGATCTGTGAAACTGTCGCCACTTTCGAGGCCTGCTGGGGGGCCAAGCACAGTGACGCCACACGCAGATTCAAATTAGACCTCGCCATCCCTGGGGGGCTGCGATCTGTGAAACTGTCGCCACTTTCGAGGCCTGCTTGCGGGGCCCAGCGCAGTGACGCCTCCCAAGTAGCTTACACATCAAGTTGATTGTCCATACAAGTTTCGGCCAACTCCTCGTTTCCATTGATACAAATGGGTTGGGTACGTCACAGGGTAATTGAAACGCTTGCTAAACTCATGTGATGGGTTCGGCATGTGCGTGCGTGGATTATGCGGCATGTGTTAGCAAGAGTGCCTTGCAACATGATGCTTTGGTGTGAACGATCCCGCGCGCAGTGTTCATCACAGGGATGGGGGGTGAAAGGGGGGTGATACCTGGTCGCCGGGGACGGTCATATTTGGTGGCCAGGATGACGCATGGTGCAGATGGAACACGACGAAGCAATGCTCAAGGGCACAGTCACGATTTCCAGCGCAGGGGTGTGGGGAGGGTTGATAACCTGTGTATGGGGTTAGAGTACAAAAGGGTACAGAACCCCTGATCCGTAGGTAGAGGAAGGAGGGACATATAGGGATCTTTTCCTCCTGTGCGACCAGCGTCCTCGTCTCTTCCAGTACCTGAGCCGATAAGGCAGGCAAAAGGGCGAGTGAGGAGTAGAGATGAGGGTATGGGACGGGTTCCTTTCACAGGGGCTGTGTCCTCGGCGGCCCTGCCGTCGACGTCGCTGCCGGGGCAACCGGGGTCTCTGTCTTGGTACTGCCGGGGACTCTGCCGGGGTCGGGGCTGGGCGGGCTGCGCCACGCGCGCGGCCCGCGAAGCACCCAGCGTGGTCGCGTAAGGCCGTGTCGCTCCATGACTCCAGTTCGACCGCAAGGGAGAGAGGCTCGGCGAGCAAACAACCATGCAAATCGAGCGTTGCTGCCGCGTGCCCTCGAAAACTCCCACAGAAAACTGCCAGCTGGATCCCTGAGGTCCCCCGCGGGAGGGCGAAGGAGGCACAGGGAAAGGGGAGATGGCGGGCGGCACGGCGGCGCGGTGTGCGTCTCGCCTCGCTCCGTGACCCCGACAGCGGCCCCAACGAGATCCCGCCCACCCCGACGGAGACCACGACAGAGACCCCGCCGACCCCGACAGAGACGCGACAACCCCGACAGAGAGCCCCGCAGAGACCCCGCCGACCCCGACAAGGACTTCGACGGAGACCCCGCCGATCCCGATGTGGACCCCGACGGAGACCTTGGCGGGGACTCTGACAGAGATCCCGACAGAGACCCTGAAAGAGACCCCGCCGACCCCGACAGAAAACCCGACAGAGACCCCGACAAAGGTCCTGCCGACCCTTGCAGAGACCCCGGCAGAGACCCCCCCCTCTCACACTTGTGGGGGTCTCTGTCAGGGTCTCTGCCGGTAAAGGCGGGGTCTCTGCCAAGGTCTCTGGGTCTCTGCCAGATTTCTGTCGAGGTTTCTGCTGGGGTCTATGTCGGGGTGTCTGTCGTGTATTGAGAGCTATGTGGTGTAAGCAGTGTGGTGGAGGCTATGCGGTGGAACGGACTTCCCTACACCGCACTTGACCACTTCCACTGCTCGCGCAATCATCCCACCAACCCACCCGCAACTTGGCTCGCAAAACCCATGCGGCGGCGATTGCGATGAGTGCCTGACGTTGGCTGGTGCACCTCTGCGGCATTGCCAGCCCAAGCACGCGCGCGCAGCGGTCAGCTAGTTTGGAGCGACCGACGCGGCCGCGGTGGCGCTGTCCGCTGGGCACATCCCAGATGGCACTTCCGTGCGAGTCGGCGACTTTCGCGGGCGCGGTATCATAGCAACGCCGACAACGGCAGACACGATGATGCTGATAGCGATGGTGGCGGCGACGTTGACAACGACGACGGCGCGGCCGGCGCCGGCACGCCGACGGCGATGACGGCGTCCGCGCGTCGGTGATGAAGATTTTGGAAAGCGTTCGACATGCGCGCGCGGCCGACGCGCGAGAGTGGCCCGCATGGTATTCTTTGACATGGACCGTGCCCCCCCAGCTCGCGCGCAAGGGCGTGCGAATGATGTGGGCATGCGGCGCCAGAGGCCCGTTCTGGCAGAATGCCATGACAATGTTGAGAAACAGACCCACGGTTTTCTGGAGTATTCGCAAGAGCGCGAGCGCAAGCTTTTTTGAAACGCGATGTTGCGAAATCATGTTGATTTATATGTATGCTGGACACTCGATTTGGGAATCGCTACGGACCGAAGTTTTTTGACGGATGTTGGCATGCGCGCGCGACGATGCGCGCGTGCGCACTTCGTCACAGTTGTTGCAACATATTCTCGCGACGGCACGCGCGCAAGGGACTTCGAACGATTTCGGCATGCGCGCGCGAAGCCCGTTTGGTAGCATTTCAAGAACATGCTCAACAGAAACAAGTGGGTTCTTAGAAATGCACAACAACGCGCGCGTAAGCTGTTCTTGAAGATCCGTGTTGCGAAATCCGGTGTGTTTTTTGTATGACTGTTGGAGACTCGATCGTAAAATCATTACGGAAAACATAAGTGTTTGAAGGATTTCGGCATGCGCGCGCGACCACGCGCGCGTGTGCACTTCGTCTCGTTTTGTTGCAAAGAGTTCTTGAAATCTGATGAATTGTGACAAACGAGTGCGCGCACATCGCATTTCTTGAAAAGGATGGCGGGGGGGGCGGATACCGGCCTGGCCGGGATGGTATGAGTTCACATTTAGGATGGACGATGGGGCAGAATCAGACGCACATTGCAATGCGAACAGGGGGGCGGATGATCCCGGATGGGGGGCGGGTATAGACCATGTAGTGCGAGCTACGCAGTGCCAGCCACTCGCCTGCCCACGGGGGCGCTGTCACGAGCGGGCACCCGGCGCAACCCCGCCACACCCGCCCACCACCGCACGAGGCGCTCACGAGACGCCCAGGCGCAGCCGCGGGCGGGCACCGGGCGCAACCTGGAAACGCCCAACCGGCGCCAACGGCGCCCACGAGGGGCCCACGGGTGGCCACCACCCCGACACACACACACACACACACACACACACACACACACACATCTGTCGAGGCCTACTGCAAGCACTTTTTGGGGAAATGGGAACCCACCAAGGATTTCGACGGTGCCGCTCTCGCGGTCCAGCGCGTTCCAGGAGGCAGCGACGCTCAAAGATAAAGGGGCCCCAGGACACACAAATAAACAGACACAAAGAACATGCTTCCCCAAAATATCGTATATTTTCAGGGTTTTTGTCTTCTCCCCCACTTCCCATGTTTCACCATATTTTCCGGGGGAGCAACGATGAATTGTCTCTGTGTTTTGTTCCCCTCCTGAAAAGAGGCCCCCGGTTCGCCCCAGGACTGCCCCGCAGCCCCCGAAGGCGGCCCCCGGAAAAGTGCCCAAGGGGTCGGCCCAGGACTGCTCCTGCAGCGCAGGAGGTCGGCCCTCGCAGACGGCCCAGAGAGGGGCCCCGAAGGACCAAACTCCAACTGGCACTCGCAGCCCTCTGTGATAGTATTACTATCAGTATTATTACGACTCTTATTGTTACTATTATTATTATTATTAGTATTAGTATTAGTATTAGTATTAGTATTAGTATTGGTATTAGTATTAGTATTAGTATTAGTATTAGTATTAGTATTAGTATTATTATTAGTAGTAGTAGTAGTAGTAGTAGTAGTAGTAGTAGTAGTAGTAATAGTAGTAGTAGTAGTAGTAGTAGTAGTAGTAGTAGTAGTAGTAGTAGTAGTACTACTCGTTGTATTACTAGTACATAGTGCTATAATGTGTTATATACAAATATTAATATTGTTGTAATATAGCTAGTACTAGTATCACTAATAACCCTCTGCCATAAGATGGTCCCCTGGACCGCCAGCAGGTCACCCAAGAAGCCCCCTGAGGCCCAGGAGCCCCCCCCCCCAGAGGGCCAACGAGGCACCCCAGCAGACCTCAAGAGGCCTCCGAGAGGCCCCTCGTCCACGACGCAGGCGCGGTGGCGCGGATGAGCCCGGGGACACTGAGAGGGTGACCGAGGAGAGGGGAGGGGGAGGGGAGGAGGAGGGAGGACCTACACGGCAAACTCCAAGATGAGCTGGTGCCGAGTGGGCGGGCCGAGCCTGGCGAGGTGGTACAAGTTGTCGCCCCTGTACACAAGGCGTCGCGGCATCATTTCGTGCACGACGGCGTCGAAAGGAGCTCGGACCTCCTGAAGGACAGTGCCATCCAAATCCGCCAACCCCGCTGAGGCCACCAGGCGTGTGAGATCTCCTTCCCTCTATGCCCGCCTCCAACCCGATCCGACATGTCAGATTTGAGGAGGAAGGGCCCGGGCTCCTCGATTCGGGCCTCGGGCGCTGCACGATGGGCCCAAGCAACCAACGAGCGTAACGGGATGCCGCCAGGATAGCCAAAGAGGCTCCCAAAGGACGACCCAAGGAGCTCCAAGAGGTCTCGGAATTTGCACGAGCCCAAGGCGAGGCCCCAGGCGGCCCCGAGAGCGTCACCCAGAGAGGCCCAGGGCCCCCCCCCGAACCACTCTCGAGTATGCGGTGTACTTGTTACGAGTCGTGCACGGTGCGCTTCGGCCAAAGATGGTACCAAGATTTAAGTCGGGCGTGTCCCCCTACAGGGGGATTTTCGACGAAACATAAAAGATACCCCCAAAATACCCCAGAAAGGTCAAACAATACTCAAAAAATAGTCCCCAGACTATTTTTGGACTATTGTGGGGGTGTGTTTTATTTTTCGTCGAAAATCCCCCTGTAGGGGGACAGGCCCGACTTAACCCACGATGCCCGAGAGGGCCTCGGGGTGGCGAGCACAGATCCCCAAGACATTCCAAGGTGACCCCAAGAGGGGACCACTATAGCCGCAGGGCGGCCACAGGCAGCCTCCAGACGGCCCACGACGGCATAAGAGGCAGGCACGGCGGCTCAAGGAAGGCCCCCTGACGGCGCCACGCCGGGCCCTAGAGAGCCCACGACGCCCCGAGACGGTCCGAGACTTCCGAGGGCGCCCTCAAAGGCATTCAGGACGACCCAGGGGGAGCCGCCCCAGAACACGCATGGATGTCCCTCCCACATCCCTCCGCCTCCCTCTCTCTCTCTCTATTTCTCTCTCTCTCTCTCTCTCTCTCTCTCTTTCTCTGTAGTTCTCCTATATATATATATACTTCCCCCAACTCTTTCTCTACATGTGGATCCCGTTGCGTTCCTCCTCTCCCTGCCCCCCTGCACCTGCAGACGCCTTCGACGCTGCTGCTGATGCTGCCGATCCTCCCCGTCCTCCGTGGCCGCTCTTGCTCCCCCCTCGTCATCGTTATCCTCGCCATCCGCACTCGCAGCAACATCACCATCGCCATCATCAGCCTCAACATCCTCATCGTCCTCCTCCTCCTCCTCCGCCTCCTCCTCCTCCCCATCATCATCATCATCATCATCATCATCATCAGCAGCAGCAGCAGCATCATCATCATCATCATCATCAGCATCATCATCATCAGCAGCAGCAGCAACAACAACAACCGCATTATTATCATCTGCCACACCGTCGTCCTCCTACGCGCTCCCTTCATTTCAGCCCGTCCTTCCTCGTTGATTCTACCAGCTATGTCCCCCCCCCTCCATCCTCCAATTCCCCTTCTGTATCCTTTCTCCCTCCTCATCGTCCTACCCCTACTCCTCCTTGTCCTCCTTCCACCTCCTCCCTCCTATGTTTGCCCCTCTTCTAACTGATTATGATCGTCGCCCTCCCGTTCTCCCCACTCCCTGATCCCTCCTCCCGCTCTCTTCCCCCGTCTACTCCCACGCCTCGCGTGAGGTCATGGAGCTCCTGCCCACCCCGTCGCACGCATCAAGCCCCAAACACCCCAAAACGCCAACCGCCTTACCGCAGAACGTACGACCATGGCGGACGATGCCCGAACAGACAAGCGCAAACGCGCCCCAAGTGGTCCGCGATGGCATCCGCGATGAGCCAACCTGGCGAATTCACTTCATGCTGGTCCTCAGCATTCTTCCAGAGGTTCGGCCAGCGGGCCTGGCTCATTTCGACATACCCTGCTGATTAGAAATGTGAATCCAAGGCCTGACGAACCCCACAATAGAACCCATAAGAACCAATTGAAACCCCACAAGGCCCCAGCAACGCCCGAGGATAACCCCGCGACGCCCATCAAGACCTGAAAAGGACGGGGGCGGCAGGTGCGACGGAAGCCTAACAAATCAGTGATCAGGCCCAAGCGCTCCCCCTTCCTCACAACGTCGCCCTGATCAGGGACGTGCTTGAAACCGCCATCGTACCCCCTGACACGGTGAGGCGTGGTAGCATGCCAAGGGCTGCCTGGTAGGGTTTCTGAGAATGTCTAGCCCTCCTCTCCCCACAGAATTCTGCATGCACCGTCCTCTCTCCCAAGGCCACGATCTTCCCGAACAAACACGCACACACGGATCCACGATCCCGAGGCCACAATCCCGAGTGAAAGAACCATGGAGCCGCGCTTCCACAACCACGATCCCTTTTACAAAGACACTGGGTGCGCGCTCCCGAGACCACAACCGCCCAAAAAAAAAACCGTGAGTCCGCGCGGCCGATGACACAACCCCTTGCACCAGCCATGAATCAGCGTCTCTGAGTTTCCAAGACGGCCGAGGCAAGCAACCAAGACCGCCAAGATGCTCTCGTATGCCTCCAAGGCGGCCAAAGATGCCCCCGAGGCTGCCCAAGATGGCCGCATGACTGCTCAGGAGGCTCCCAAGACGGCCCAAGAGGGCCACAAGATGACACTAAGTATGGGGCCCTAGAAGCACAATCATACATGTGCTTGCAATGTTGGCAGGATTTGCGCGTCTTCATATTTTCAAGCTCCCTTCAGCTACCCTAGAAGGCTCAGAGGGACCCCACGCCAACTGGCCAAATAATCCCCCAAGGCGGACAGAAGTCAGCCCAAGGGGGCCACTGGAAGGCCCAGGACGGCGCCAAAGAACGCCCCAAACCAACCTAAGAGGGCCTCCAGAGGGACCTCTAGTCGGCCTCAGAGAGCTTCTCGACGGCCCAACACGTCCCCAAGACGGCCACGAGGGACCCCCCAGACGGCCAAGAGGGCCCCAAGACGGCCGAAGAGAGGCCCCCCGACGGGCCAAAGTGGCCCGAGGGACCCTCAAGAACGCCCAACAGGAGCCAAAACCAGCCCCAAGACGGCCCAAATGAGCTCCATGAGAGCTCCTGAAAAAGTAAAGGCGAAGTGACACATGTAACGACTAGCCTATTACTCCCACTGCTCCTCCTCCTCCTCCTCCTCCTCCTCCTCCTCCTCCTTCTCATCATCAGCATCATCATCATCATCATCATCATCATCATCATCATCAGCATCATCATCACCAGCAGCAACAGCAGGCATCATGATCATCAGCAGCATCGGATTAACCCTCCTCCTCACCATCATTATCATCATCAGCATCAGCATCGACATCATCATCAACATCATCATCATCGTCATCATCATCCTAGTCGCCGTCATCATCATCAACAGCATCCGCGTCACCATCATCAGCATCATCAGAATCACCATCATCAGCATAATCATCATCGTCATCATCATCATCATCATCATCATCGGCAGCACCAGCATTATAAACATGATCCGCAGCATCATCATCATCATCATCATCGTCATCGTCATCAGCATCATCAACATTCTCGTCGTGACGTCGACATCGTTGTCATAACCACGGTTCTCGCCATCTTCATCTCAACCGTACCTTTTCACCAAACAAAGCATCATAATCGTAATATGTCATTTGGTGCGGTCTGATTGTTAACTATGCTTCTTCACCTTCGTCAACATGATCATCATCGTCATCATCACCATCATCACAACCACCACAATCATCATGTCGTCGTCATCACGCTCATCGACAACACCATCATCGTCATCATCACCATCACCATAGTTTCAGTCCCTCTCGCCCACCACAATCATCCTCATTAGTTTATCCTCCTCCACCTCCTCCTCCTCCTCCTCTTTCTCTTCCGCATCATGGGTAGTATGTGCATCTCAGTACTTATGCCTAGCACCGACACAACGCGGGGCACGAAGTGTCTCTCGTTACGGCTCCCTGTCAATCGCCACCCGTGGTGCTTGGCCGGCACGGTGCAGGGACTTGCCGCAGGCAGCTGGATATGCCAGAAATGTTGGCCTGGACCTCCACGCGTTCTGGCAGGAGGAAGTGCTGACGGTCTGGATGGGTCACATTACCATCGACCATCTTCAAGTGCGTCATCAGATTCGTGACGCCAACGACGTGCCCGAGAACTTGCTTTTCACCTGGCTGCGGATTATAGCCGAGGCCCGACTCGCTGACAATTGACGGAATTCCGCGAGCCATAGCCTCATATATAAGTGGGCCGGGACGGCGGTACTCTGGCTCATATATCAAGTACGGGAGGCCAAAGAGTGACGCCATCTCCTTCACAGTCGTGGTCAAATTTCCAAAACCTTCCAGATATATGGTGTGCATCAAGTGGGATTCCGTGACCTCGCCTCCACGCAGATCCACGTGTGCGTCGGCGGCCAAGATCACATCGGTGAAAAGCTTGTGTGCTAACACGTCCGACACAGTACCCTTGGGATCGCCCGGGAATAGGTCGTTGATGTCCTTTCCGTCGAAGGGGCTCAACGACTTCGCGAGTGAAAATGCTGGTGTCCGGAATTGGAATGCAGGCATGTCCCGGGGAGACGTAAGGATTGAGTTTTGGGGACTCGGACTTGCCAGACGGGGACAGAAGGAAGATTGTGGGACCTAGTCCGAAATTGGACACGAGCTCCGAAATCCCACGAAAACTGGCCCATTCATATTTTCGCCGAGAACCAACCAACAGCGGCAAACCCCGGATCCAGCAAACTCTGGCCTCACGTTCCCCAAATGTTTACCACTGGCACGATGACTAGCTTGCCAGACAGATGCTCTGGGTCCACTTGGGCGTACAAGCGCCCCGCTGCTTCGATGCCGCAGTACTCTAGCGGATAGAGGCCTGCGGTGACAGCCATGGTTGGCCCATCGGCGATGCCGTTGATGACCATCACTGGCATGTCCACTCTCGCGGCCAGATCGTTTACCACGCTGACGTAGCCCCAGCCCTTTGTGCCACGTTCTACGCCCGCGGGGTCGAACTCGCGGGCACGAGCGCACACTGCCAGCAGCGCCAGCCTCAGGAGCACCGCGAAAGCCATGGCAAAACGAATTCGAGCGATGGGCGCCTTTCCTCCGAAACCGTGGATGGCCCGTGATCGAGCCATGGTAAGCGACGGGCGAGAAATAAAAAGCTGACGAGGCACGTTCAGGTATGTTCGGGCCTGGGTGGGCCGTGAGCAGAGAAGCCACCTGCGCACCCACGGCCGACATGTTTGTTCTCAACCCAGGTCAGCCCCAGATCGGGTCGCACTGCGCTGCAAGCCCAGACCTACGACGTCGTGGACTCTGAATGACGTGACGACGTCGGCCCCTGCAACTCTCGACACAATACCTGGGATCGGTTTCTCGTCCCGGGCCTCTCTTCGATGGCCCGGAACCTGGACATCTTTTCGCCGCAGTGAGCGCTGATATATTCAGCTTCGCAAGCACGCCTGGGGCTGTGTGGATCTCCGCGGGTTCGGGTCTGGACGCGGCTCGGAGCAAGCAGGAGTAGGAGAATGACGAAAGAGGCGGAGGAGGAGGAGGAGGAGGAGGAGGAGGAGGAGGAGGAAAGGGGAGGAGAGAGGAGGAGGATGAGGATGAGGAGGAGTACGGAGGAGAAGGAGGAGGAGGAGGCGAGAGAGAGGGGGAGGAGGAGCGGGAGGAAGAATAGAGGGGAGGAGGAGGAGGAGGGAGGAGGAGAGGAGGAGGAGGAGGAGGAGGAGGAGGAGGAGGAGGAGGAGAGGAGCTGGAGCAGGAGATAGGAGGATAGGAGGATAGGAGGAGGAGGAGGAGGAGGAGGAGGAGGAGGAGGAGGAGGAGAAGGAGGAGGAGGAGGAGCAGGAGGAGGAGGAGGAGGAGGGGGAAGAGGAGGAGCAGGAGCAGGAGCAGGATGATGATGATGATGATGATGAGGAGGAGGAGGAGGAGGAGGAGGAGCAGGAGCCGGAGCAGGACCATCTGAGAATTTGTTGTATGCTGTATGCGTCTTCGGGGAAGGCTTAGCACACCTCTCAGGCTGGAGGACTTCCGAGCCTTCTGACAAAGCCCGCCCCCTCTCGCCTCCCCCCCCTGGCCGCGCCGCGGGAGGGAGTAGACAAGCCGTCAGGGCAGCGCTGGGCTCCAAGGGGGACTGCGCGTCACTGGGCGGCGAACACATCCCTGTCCGCGCCCTGGCGGTCTGGACTCGGGGGCGAGCTCCCGCGAACACGCTGTCGCACGGATGCGTTCTGGCCATCGCTCGGACGTCCATTCCCTCTGCTTTTTTTCGTATCGTGCGTGGTTCCTTCGCCAAATCATCAAGGATGCTCCTCGATGGTCCTCGCCGAAGGAAAAATGCACACGTCCGAGCAATGCCAAGCGTTCCGCGCGGGGCATCCGCAACAAAACACGCCTCGTAATTACCCGCGGGGTCGCAGCCAAGGGGCTCGGCCTGCGAGGCCGCGGATACGGACGTGTTGTTCGCCCAGGAGCTCGAGCGCCACGGGAG